CAAAACACTCTTCGCTGAATTAAGCATCGGAGTGCCCAGCTGTGTAATTTTTTCTTGGGAAACACTTATCCGGGTAAGTGCATTTACCCCTGTTCTTTTATTTCTCATGTAAATAAGGCAATGACGATTTTAGTCATAAAAATCCATTATTAAAAAGGGTATTTTTGTCCCATTCAAGTGTTGACAACTTTCCCTCTAGGTGATAAAGTTATTTACCCACCTAGGAGATGGGTATCACTTTTCTCGATAAGTGATACACAGAGAAATAAACTTTCTGTGGTCTCCACATAAATATGAAAAAAGAACATAGAGTTCTTGATCAATGAAAACAAAAATCCTATTGACCAACTTCCCCCTCTCAAAATGTGAAAAAGTAAACCCCCAAATGTAAGGTAYGCACTGCACCAACAACGAGACATGTATTAAATTCTCAATCACTCAAACACGAGTGTTTTAGGGAAAAAACATGAGTGGATGGTAATAAAGAAACAAATTTGTGTTTCATGTGAGGAACATAAATTTGTGGTGACTTCAGATCTGGGCAAATCTGAAGTAGAAGTAATAGATCCGGGTGCATCCGGTTTAGGGACTTCATATCCCTAATTAGAAATCCAAGCAAACAAACCCTAAATTACGAGACCGGAGAAGAAGGGCTACTAAGGATTTGAATTCAAACACCAGAACTTTTGCAGGGTATGGAAGTTTATGCATATCTGAATGATTGTGGTCGTTTTCTGGCAATTCCTTCCTATGAATAAGTTATGATATAAAATAAAGGGATTTTTCGTCTGGGGGATATCTCAAGGATGAATCTTATATTACTAGGCATCGAATCTTATATTAATCTTTGTATATAATTTTTTATATAAAATAAATTTTCTAATATAATAAACAAAGCACTGAATTAATACTAAATTAAATTAAAATATCATTAATATATATATATATATATATATCAACTAATAACAATTAAAATTCCTAAACACATGTTTTGAAGGTCTGATTCTAACATCATCCTTAAATCTATCTCAGATTATATTTATGGACATAGTCTATTCCCTGTCTTGTAACTTTGTAAGGTTCGGCCTCCTCCTTGCCATATCTTTGCAATCATCTCAATTGTTTGAATTGATCTCGAYCATCCATCTAGTTGGATGGATGATCCTCTTGAACGTATTGCTTCCATTATTAATTTTGAGGCATGTTGTATTCGAGACCATTGATTCATTGAATAATAGAAATTGACAGTTTCCTCCAAAATAAATTTAACGATAGAGTTGTAATGCTTTTTCTTTATATTTTATTTTCAAAACACCAAAAAAGAGAAAAAATCATAAATGATTAAGCAAGCTTATATAGAACATAGAATAGTTGAAGGAACTTTGTTGATATGGGCTACTCCATTTTAGTACATATTAGTGCAAAAGCACGTGCTAGGTATGTGTAAAGTATTAACCATATGTGGGATATGGAATTCGGATTTAACTTTAAAGAGGCATTTAAAGTGCAAAGAGGAGATAAATCCTTAAAATAATTTTAAATAATTTTAAGGAATGTCGAATGCAGCCTAAGTCTTGAGTCTTACAAGGGATTTACTCGGACGCCTTACACCAAGGGGTATTTGATAGTAGAAACAGTGGCTAACATTGAAAAGCTTATTGTTTTGTTTTTTAGTGAATTAAACCTAGGAATTGGGTTAAATTGGATTGATCAGGCTCGAGTCAGGCCAGGAGCATTTACAGGTAAGGGTGTAAGTTGGGTTGGTCAAGATAACAGTTTACACTTTGGACTCGGGATTCGAATTGAGTCTATTGAAAATTTGACAAAATCCTAACTCTAACCTACAAAAGTTATATYSTTAATTTCAGGTCATTTTGGGCCAAGTTAGTTTTTAGATTCGGTCACTAAAAGATATAGACCCTAAGTTTGGATTAACCCACGAATCAAACATGTCAATAGTTTAACCGCACCTCTCAATTGGTCTTTGACTAAGGCGGTGTTCGGTATTGCGTTCATCTCGTGGTCTTTGTTCACGGGATGAAGACTCGTTCGGCTGGGTGTAGATGGGACTGGTCCACGCTATATTGTGGATCGATTCCGTCCACACCCCAATATAGCGTCAATGGGAAAAACTCGTGGATACGTCCCCTCMACGATTTATTTTTGATCCCATGCTTTACAATCTCTCTGAAACAAAGGAACCGAGATTTGTCATTCCTGACCTTCTTCTTCGAGCTACGGTAGTCGTAATGATCGATGCTTGCAACTAGGAAGTGAGTGAGAGGGGACATTCTTCCGAGTGTGACTCGGAAAACAGGTGATGACTGCCAACTTCAGTTTTGCTCAATCAATGGGGGAAAACAGGGGGGTCTGTAAACAATTGGAGGGCAAGAATGGTGAAGGGAGTCAGTGTAGATGATAGAGGATGGGAGAAAAAAAATAGTGTGAAATCGCAAAGGAAATGGAAGGAAGATAGGGCGGATGCTGTGGCTGCAAAGTCTCCTCTATGGTTAGAGAGTAGAGTTGGACGATGGTCTGAGAGCAATGCGAATAGGGAGAAGGAGAGGAAGAACAAGAGGAGAAGAATAGGAGGAAGAAGAAGGAATAAGGAAAAAGAAAAGAGAGGGAGAGAGAGAGAAGAAGAAGAAGAAGAAGAGAGAATGGGGGAGGTTTTGGTTGCCACCACCGCATTGTTCTCATCTAAGGAGGAAGACAATGAACAGTCGAATTAGGTTAAATTAGAAAGTTTGGTCAATTTTGATAATATGGATAAGGGTAGTTTGGTAACTTCAAAGAAGTCTATGGGTAATTTGGTTAATTGGGGTCTAAGGGGGTCAAGCTTAGGGGTATAAACGGATTGAATTCGAATTGGATCAGGCAACATCTGAATTTGAATTCGATTAGAAAATTTGATATCCGAATTCGAATCCGATTAAATATTCAAATATTTGATTTGAATTTGATCAAATAATTATTTTAGATAATTAATAAATATATAAAATAAATATTTTATTGATATAAAGTATATAAATATATAAATTATTTAAAATATTTTATATATTATATACAAGAATTAAAAAATCGAGAAAATTCGGATACAAATCCGATTAACTATTTGGTATGAATAGGATATCTGAATTCGATCGATTAAATATTTGAATTATTCAAATTCGATTGACTATGTCAAATATCGAATTTGAAATCGGATTTTCAAATACCGTTTACACCCCTAGTGAAGCTCTAGTAGGGTAATTTAATTATTTTACTATTATTTTATAAAAAAATTAATATTTATTGGTTAATATTAATTCATTTATGCATTTTTCAAAATATTTATCATATAAAATGCAAAAATTAGATATTTATGATTAACTGTATATATCATTCATAAAATGTATATGGGATACATGGAATAAAAAAACTGTAGTGTGGACTGGTCCACACCATGCTACCGAATGCCACTGTGGGTGTGGACTGGTCCAATTCACATAGTTTGTAAATAGTTTAAAACAACTGTAGACTGTAGTGTGGTGTATATTAGTTCTTGTCACAAGGTGTAATGTGGACCAGTCTATAGCCACAAATTTCTCATTCACACTATAGAACACCCCCTAAATCAATAATTCTTTTACCAAAAATATAGAATTGTCAAGTTCAAATGATTTAAATGGTTGAACCATCCTAAGACATAGAATTGAAATATGCTCCTCACAGAGTGATCTTCACACTAATAATGTATTGAAAACGTTTCCAAATAAAAAATAAATACAAAGACGGGAATATTCTAGAAAACAATTCTGGATGAATAATAAACACAAAGATGAGATATTCTAGATGTGCGACAGGATATGTCATGGTTTTTAAAACCGGACCGGACCGGAAAAACCGGGAACCAGTCACCTGACCGGTTCTGTTTTCCCCCAAAACCGCTTTTTTCTCCAAAACCATTGATTTTAGTTAGCAAATCGCTGAACCGACTGATTAACCATTTGAATGGTTTTGACCGTTTTTTTAATTTTTTAATTTTTTTATCAAAATGGGACGACTGTTCGGGTTGAACGGTCGAACTGTTCGAACCAATAACCGGACCCTAACTAGTTCGGTCACTGGTTCGGTTTTAAAAACCATGGATATGTGGTGAGGTTGGTGTGAGAATCGCTGTGGAGCAGATCCGGCCCATGAGACGTGCACTACCCACGGAAAAGAAGGCATGTAAGCTACTAAGCAACCTTAAATGCCAACACTCTCAGACGTGAAAGTGGATTGCAATAAAGAATTTTTCCACATGCTAAAAACAGAAGACGGGCTTTTCACACATCCAATATGGGACTTGCACCATTTTGCTAACCCAATTTGATTCCATTCCGGATCTCCTAAACTTAGGGCCTTGTGCCTTTGTACACTAAACTAACCACTGGGAATTCATCACAATCAGAATTCACTCAAAGAGTCGGACTCGATTGATTCACTTCGTAATTTCGAGCAGCTTTTAGTTTTACTGCATGCATGGAGAATATTTTTAAATTAGATATTCCTAATAGAAGGTTGCAAAAAGCTGTTAGATCGGTGTGGGATAGAAGTCGATATTGACTGAGTCCGGTTTACAATGCGTTATGGAGATATTTCCAATCCAAAAAAGGCTGTGAACGGCACGAGCATCGTTAGGACCAAATCCGACTTCAGCCCATATAAAGCCCATAACCATACTTTCCTAAAGGACGGGCCCACCGTAGTCTCCCTCTCGTTGGGGTGTACTCCATACACGCACGCGCACACGAGCCTGGAATCGTAAATTCGTAACCTGCCTTTGACATGGCACCCCCCCTCCAACAACGCTACCACCGTCTTGTTTCTGGAGCGTGGCCGTGGCATAGCGAGTGAGTCCACTCTCTCACTAACTACGACCGTGCGACGCGTAGGTGCTATGCCGCCCGCGGCCCACGATCAATCGCTTTCCACTATTAAATTCTAAAAAAATAAAAAATTCAAGCTCGGAAAAATATTTCCACCAAACAGACCACATTAAAAATCTTTTAATCGAAACAGAAAACATTACTAATTACATGGCTGTTTTTTTTTCATTTATTTTGGCCTTCTTTTGAAATTTTTACAGGGATGTTGATAAAATCGAACTTTTGGTACACGCCGGCGGCCAGAGACTCCCACCGCCCACCAGGCGGATATCTGAAACGCTGTTTCACGGACAAGTTCTGACCTCTTCACCAACAACCGGTCGAACAGATTAACGGTCCAGATTAAATCATAAACATCGTATCACCAGATCAGATCTTCTCCAGCTTCTGGCCTTTGACGACCGGATTGGCCTTGGCGATGGCCTCCCTCCCCATTGCCTTGAAATCGAACATACACGCGTGCTGTTCCGGGTACCGATGCGACCCGCAGAACGTAATCCCGCAGCGGCACTTGAATCCCGTCAGTCCCACACGCTTCCTACATGTCGCACATCGGTTTGGCTGAGACGCCGACGAAGGCGCTGGGTTGGATTTCGACGGTGACGCGACGGTCGCCGGGACGTTAACCGGATTCCGGCCAACGTCGGGGTTCTCTAGAAGGAGAGGAGAAACTGGGGCCCGTGACGAATCGGCGGAGGAGGAGGAAGAAGGGGATGCAGCGCAGGATTTCTCGACGGCGAGCTTGGCCGAGGAAGCTTGTTCCTCCTTGAGGCAGAGATCCCGGTAACATTTGGAGCAGAGATTTAACGTGGCGGGGCTGCCGAAAAATCCGCAGTTGTTGGCGCATAGATGGTGGCCCTCCGGAGGCTTGCATCTGTGTTCTTCCGCCATCTTAGGTTTTTTCCTTCGTTTCTGAGATCGATCCGCTGATCCTTAAAAATCAAAGCTTCGTAACCAAACCCTTACCTGCAAATACAGATTTCAAATTGAAAAAGAAAGGTAAATTCAGGCAAGAATAAATCAAAATCAAAAGATAAAAAATTGTTTAAAATATATATAAAAAAAAGAGCGGATAAGAAATAATTCTACCTGAATCGAGAAGGTTTCGAAATATTCTTGACTGCTGCGATTGGATTGGAGAACAGAGAGGAAGAACAAGAAGAATAAGATCAACGAGATATATCTCGAATCTCTCTATCTTCTTCTCCTCCTCTCCCTCGACTTATATATTCCTCTGGAGATAAATGAATGAGTTAATGAATTAAAAAAGGACTGAAACCCATTTTAATAAAGATTTAAATAATTTCCAGCCTGGATCACCTCATAAAAAACAGCAAAATTTTGGATTATTTCTATTAACCTGGAGTCAATTAGAGTTTGACACAACTTGCGTCAAACCAACCGAAGAAGCGGCGTGTGGGCCCCACGGAAGAGATAGAGTGTCAGGTGAACATTAAAAGTAGTATTGTGGGTTTGACGCTTCTTATGTCCACCCTCCGTTGGACGCTATGATCTTTTTTTTTTAAATAATTAGTAGCAGGGAGAGAAGATAGGAAACGGGTCTATCGTGTGGGGTACCGACTACCGACTTGCCGCAAAATCCAATCTTTTCCTCGAAGCAAAACCACGGAATCTCTTTCTCTCTCACCGGTTTTCGGGTTCCCGGTTTTATCCGAAGATTCCATCTCTCAGGTGCAATCTCTTTCTCTGTCCCACTTCTATTTAAACGCCCCAATTCGTTTTACCTTTTTACGCCTGTGCCATCGCCTTTTGGTAAGTACGGCTCCATAAGTTTCGTATTGCGATTTGGTAATTAGACACGTGTACCGACAGGGTCATTTTAGTCAATAGAGGAGCATTTATTTATTTAACCAGCATTGACCATGTGTCCTGTCCTTTAGTCCTTTACTGGTCCGTTTCGTCGTCTTATTCCGGATCCTTCTGGGCCCACACAAATGGGGTCAGCAGACTCAGCACTCGGCAGCCGCTTACGGCCGTGGCTGGACCGGCGAATGAAAGTATTTTTCACGTTTTTCAACACGGTAAAGAACCGAGTCAATAGGCAGTCCAACCACGCTAGACCGGCCGGCCCCAGCTTCAAGAATCCAGCTGCTCAAAACGACAAAAGCTATTGAGAGGGAAAGGCCGAAAGGATCAAAGGAATGGATGTGAAAAACTTTTTTCTTTCCTATTTGGGTGTGTTGCAAAATATCTTTGTTAATATAGAAGCTGCATATACAAGGCAAAACACAGGATAGGAATATTATGGTTGTTCAATAGATTCCAATCCAACCGTAGTAGGATTCAGATCCTCCTATCAAAATCAACTAAATCATGTTAATCTTCAGCTTGAATTAGGGAGATGGATCTTGTTTCTTTTTTTTATCAACTTTTCATGTTTGGATGGATCTTGTTTTTCAACTTATGGGACTCTTGGCCTTATATGGGCCATAGTGGCCCACTATGATCGTGGTAGGATCCAAGATATTGTGGACAATGCAAACTGTCAATCAAATAAGTTTTATTTCTCCAGCATTCTTAATTAAAAATTAATTTTCATATATAACTCTTAAACCCTAAAATTATCTTTTTCAATTAAATAAAACAATATCTGGATAATTTTTCTAGTCCAACTGATCCAATTACCCACCTGCTACAGGGTTAAAACAGTTCTATTTTCTTTTGTTTTTTTTTTCTTAAATCAGAAAACTGAAATCTGCCAAATGAATTGAAAGGAGAAAGTTGGGAGGTCGCTCTACTTTTTGAGTAACCATACCACGACCATGCAGCCGCTTGGAAGGTTCCTATGTTGCTTTTTCTGAGCGTTACTGTCCTGAATCCTAATTAGTAGACCATGTGTCATTAGAATCTCACGGATGATACGACCCTAATAATTGAACTATTGAGGGGCGTTTGGTATAGTGGTGTCGAATTGATGTTGCAGTTTGGACTGATCAATACAAATGAGAAATATCAATTTAAAGTTTCAGATAGAAATAATAAGCTCCATCGATTAATTCTAAACATTTTGATGAAAAAAAAATCTATCTTATCACAAATTTGTATTGATGAACCTAAGGCTCAGTTTTCTAAGAGTATAAATGCAAATATGTACGGTATAAATACGCATAAAATATAAGGATTTTCATTCTATATATTTGTATTTGCACTCCTTTCAAACTGAGCGAGTGAGCTTAGCGCAATGGATTGATTTGTATCTCTATGTGCATTCTCTGAAGCCAGCTGAAATTCCAACGCCCCATGGAATATTGCTATTATTTTGGGAGATTGCATAAACGCAGAAGTTTAATGGTTTGTTCCAGTGTTAATGCGGAATCAAGTCCCACAATGAGCAATTTTTTCATGTAGTTTGGCTTTTATCAGGGCAAAGTATATATGCACCATTTGTGCAGCGTGAGGATGTGCCACGTGTATTTTGCCGCATGTGCATGTTTCAAACGTGCGAGGTAGAGTAAACATCAGACTCCTCTTACTTTCACTCTCTCGCCGCACCGAACCGAACCCTGAACACTCTCTCCCTCTCCAACCAATGACGACTAACAGCGATTATCGTTCACCAAATAAGTTGTTAGTTTCATCCGAACTACTCTCTTTGCATAAACCATTAATCAAAAAGTTACATCATCATCTTCCAAACTACATTACCCTCTTAAGCATAAATCCCTCCTCTAGATTCCCCATTTTGCAGTTTCCATTGATCAAAGTATTAAAACTAACAATAGTCGGCTCATCCCCTCTTACTAATTTCATAAAAAATCAACTCAGCTTCCTTAAATTTACCCTCCCTACACAATGAATGCATCAAAATATTAAAAGTGTAAATGTTGGGTAGAAATCCTATTGGAAAATAATAATAGAAGGCAGAATGGAATTTATCGATAACTGTTTTTCAAACCAAGAATTTGTAGAACTGTAGTGTCGCAGAATTGTGAATCTAAGAAATCGCAGAGAGAAGGAGGGCTGAGTCGTGCCACTTGGTCATTCTCCTTAAAATGGCATTTGTCCCCTACGGTGCAATTAGGTGATTGCAAATCGGTCGCAAAGATAAAAYAGCCCATAGGCCACTGGTAGATGCGCACTTGCTTACCAAACCTTTGTGAACCACCAAGAATGATACTCAAAAAGAATATACTTGGCAGAGAAAGCAGACTGTATTGTGTGCACTGTTGTGTATTTCTGGGTCGACCAACACTCTTTATTGAGAGTTCTCAGTCACCCGAATGGACACAGAAGTGTCTTTCCAGATAAATATCTCTTTAGAACAGTGCACTTGTTCGAAGAGATAGAGAGAAGAAGAGACACAAGAAGAAAACATTTAAAAAATGAACTTTGAAATTCAAAAGTCAAACTATTTAAACCGGTCTTGTGCCTGCATCCCAGCATAGCTTGGCTCGATGTGTGTGTATGAGAAGCACAGCCAACCCCACTCACATGTATGTGAACATCTATAGTGCTTTTCTTCTATGAATCCCTTCCCAAGCAATGTGGGATAAGGAGTCTTCCTATACATTTAAAGGAGAAAAGAAAAAGAGACAAAAACCAAAGAACACAAGGGAGGGAGAAGAAATTTTTGAAATTTTGAATCTCCCTCCAACAAATCCATGCTTCCTAACCAACCTAAAACATTGAATTGCATCTGATATAAATCTAAATTCTGTACACACATTCATCATCATATCATTAAATACCAAATTAGGTTCATGTATACCTCTGGTTTCAAGAACTGATGCGAAAATGGATGATGTTGAGTCCTTCCCCTTACAAGAAACAACAAACTGAATCAGTGATTGGGCGTCTATGAGTATCTGGTGGCCGCATAAGTAATGGGCCATGAAATGAAATAATAGGATTGAATGGTATGACGAAAACCCTGTTGAGAAGAAATCCATCTAAAGAAGGAGAAAAGAGAAGATGGGTCAAGGGAGAAAGGGTTCTAGGTGATCAGATCAACAATGTGACGAGCTGTGACAGAACGGACAAGCTTCGAATCGAGGGGCTTTGTTGGGGGTATTCTTAATGACTTGGGAAAAGGTTGTGAGAATTGGGTCTTGCTGTTGTTGGTGGAAAGGTGGTGGGGTGAACCACGTGGAGAAGAGCCCCAATTGAGGAGGAGAGAGAAGTTGGTGGCTTTTCGGGAATCCGTGCACATGAATAGTTGGGGTTTGGCTAACGGTACTTTCTGTTGGTCATTGGTCACCGATATTCACTATTGGTTGCCGCCCGTTGAAGAGGGAGAGAGTGAACGTGAACAGGGTTTAGTTGGCTGTGGCAAAAAAGTGAGAATGAGAAGAATCTAGCGAGAGAGGAAAATGAAACAAATGAAGTTAACGGCGTTTATTCTACCTTGCATCCTTATGCTGCGCGAACGGTTATACTTTGCCCTAATAGAAGCCGGACTCCTCTCCATGTTATGTGCCATTGGGCGTGCACGCTGTCACTAGCCCCTTTAACCCTCTACTTAGGTATAGGGTATAATACCTGCTCCTATGGAGCTAAAACCACAACACCAATATATAAATATATAAATACATAAAAAAATTGCAACCATGCCAACAGATGGCTTAATGGTCATTTTTTCCACAAGGAAACAAAGCATTTATTAAAGATGATTAAGATCTGGAACAATGAGTTCGTGTAAGAAGGGTGGCTGACTTAATTGACCAGAATTGCTTATTACTAATCATTCAATAGGACAAAATAGTCATATAGCAAAATCGGATGCAAATTTTACACCCGGTTCAAATTTGAATACATTTGTTTTCTAACCATGATTTTTACCCCTATCTCTATCTTTGCAGATATAAAATTTTCAAATCCCTTCTACCTTGGTTGTCTCTCATATTAAGTAGGATTACATCATTTTACTTTTTCAAACAAAAAAACCTTCTTTCTGCCATCAATTTATTTGAGCTAAAATATAGGGACCACATCTTTCTACTTTCTATTTCATTTCTCACCAACAAACAAAATAAAGTCAAACTTGGAACAAAATTACCAAAGATGCCCCATTTAATTGCTTACTCACTACATGCCAATAAGCACTTCAGTTCAGCCAATAGAATTATTATCAAACAACCCCTTAGGAATATCTAATCTTACAGTCCACATAATTGAACCTAGAGGTATAAAACAAGTCGGGCTGGTTCATGGATCGGGCCAAAGTTATTTATTTAAAAATTTTTAAAAAATTAAAATTTTAATTTTAGATGAAAATTTTGAAAATAAATATTT